CGTGATGGTGACTACCAGGGAATGCCGATGAACTTCTTCCCCGCTGGAATGGGCAGGGCCGGCGGGCCGATCATGCCCGGCATGCCCATGCCGCCTCCCGGCCGCCAGGGCGTGGCTGGTCCAGGCGGCGCGCCGCCGGCGTGGTTGCCCCTCAACCAGCCCCCCGCGCAGCTGCAGCAACAGCACCCGGGCTCGCCCATGAAGCACCCGCAGAGCGCCGGCGGCTATTCGCACAGTGCGGCCGCATCGCCAGCACGCCACATGGTAGTTGCCCTCTCACCCGCTTGCGTGCGTGCGTGTTAGTCCGTCGCTGATTGACTGCGTACGCTGACGCGAGAGCAGCAGCAAGGCCAGCAGCCACAGTACGGAAGCCCGCAGGCGTCGAACAACGGCTCCGGCGGCTATGGCGACAGATCAAGTTCTCCCTTCCGCACACAGAGCCAATACGACGAGGTTCGTCGCACACGACACACGACACACGACACCACACGACACCACACGACGTCACACGACACCACACGACACACCACACGAGCAACTGGCTCACTTTCGCCCCCATTTTGGTGTGGTGAGTGTAGCAGCCCAGGTATTTTACGAAGCAGCGGTGGACGGAACAGAAGGAGCGCATGTCGGCCTACGACATCAACACCATCATTCGGCTCCACTCCTCGCACCTCCCCATGCCCCTCCCCTTCAACGAGGACTACTACTACCAGTCCTACCTCGCCGCCAGACAACGTTCGCCCTCCCCCCACGCTTATTATTACTTTTAATATTATTATTATTATTATTATCACGTTTATTCCTCTTTATTTTATTATTAAAATCTGCTTTACCATATTACCCTAAAATGGAATTTTTTTGGTTTTTTTTGAATTTCTTTGTTTTGAAAAAATGTGGTCTGACGTTGTGGGTCGCGGTGCAGAGGGAAAGCGGCCTGTCACCCCGCACACCCCGCTCTGCGAGACCCAGCCTCTGCCCGTCAAGAGACACACCGGTACGCCCGCGTTGGCCTCGTGTGTCGTGTCGTGTCGTGTCGTGTCGTGTCGTGACGTGTGCATGTCGTCCTTATCGGTGGCGGTGATGCCGCACGCGCGCGCAGATGCCACGGATCCGTTCAAGGGCGCCCTGGGTCGAATTCCCAACCACAGCGTGCGGTCCCCGCGGCCGCTGCTGCAGCTCGAGGGCTTCCTCGACCAGAAGGCCCTCGCCCGCCGCAACCGAGACGAGTCCCGGGCGGCCGCACAGCAGCAGCAGCAGCCATCGTACGAGGCCCCGCCCTCGGAGGCGGCGTGGACCAACCACGCGGTGCTCCTGCGAATCGAGCAGGCCTTCGGCTTCACCCTCGACCTCGAGGACATCGACCTCCTCATCACCAACTCGGCCATCGAGCCCCAGGCCGGGTACACACCACCACCGCACACGCACCACCGCACGCCACGCACACGCACACACAACTTACGGTGTGTGTCGTGTGTCGTGTGTGTGTGTTCGTAGAATGAATCTGTTGAACAAGAGGCGCGATATTGCGGCGACGCTGTTCTCGCTGCTGGGCATCAACACACAGCCGCCCATGGCGCCCCGCAACCTGCCCGCCTTCGACTACGACGAGGAACGAGAGCCCACCTACAGCTTGTACGCGCCTCCTCCCCGCCAGCCCAACCCCCCACCACCACCACCCACCCAGATCCGCTCATCCATTCCCGCGCGTGTCGTGTCGTGTCGTGTGCGATGGCAGACCGGAGGACGAGCTGCTGGTCAAGCTGGCGCAGGTGCCCAAGGGCTGTCGCATGCTGGCGCGGGTGATCCCGCTGCTGAGCCAGGCGCAGGTGGTCTACATCGTCTACGCCTTCATCCGCAACCTCCACTACATCCTCACCGCGCCCAAGACCAAGGACGTACGTCTCATCTCCCTCCGCCTTCTCGTGTCGTGTGCGTGTCGTGTCGTGTGTGTCGTGTGTCGTGTGTCGTGTGCGTGTCGTTTCTCGATAAACTCACACTCAACGGACGAACGAACGAGCAGGAGATGATGATGAGCTCGCGCCTGAGCTTCGCGCTGTCGCAGGCGATCTCGGGGCTGCAGCTGGCGCCGCTCACCGTGTGCCTGCACATGTTCATATCCTACGCCCAGATCGAGGCCTTCAAGACCAAGAGCGGCCTCCTCATCCTCCGCTCCATTTTCACCCGCGCCTACCAGGTACACACGCACTCGACCGCACTCGACCGCACTCGACCGCACACGCGCACGACACACACGGCTAACGACACGACACGACACGACACACGCGTGCAGTTGGCGTCGCAGGTGCGTTCGGTGCCGCCACAGCACGGGACGGAGATGGCGGAGCTGAGCATGTGGGAAGACACGTTCGCCGGGTTCATGGAGGCCATGTCGGGCTACTTTTGCGCGCTGCTCCGACTCGCGGCGGACGAGGACGACCAGCTGGCGTCGCCCCTGGCCCCGCCCGAGGGCTCCATCTTTGTGGGCCTCATGCACGTGTGGGACTTCCTCCTGCTCCTCACCCTCCACACCTCGCCCGCCCAAAAGGTGCGTGTGTTTGTGTGTGTTGTGTTGTGTGTTGTGTTGTGTTGTGTGTGTCATGTTTCACAGAGGCTCACGATGCTTACACGCACACACACACACAGGAGTCGGTTTTCGCGGAGGTGAGGGAGCCGCTCGAGGAGTCGCTGGTCAATCCCGCGCGCGCGCAGCACAAGCCGGCCATCTTCGCCTTCCTGCAGCGCCTGCAGAAGGAGCACCACTACGCGTCGTTCTTCCATGGCCCGCCGCCGGCAGGTCATCCGGTCGCCGGACCCACCTCGATGCCGCCGCCGGGCATGGCCTTCCCGGTCGGCATGGCGCCTCCTCCCTCCGCCCTCCCCTCCTTCGCTGGCCTCTCTGCCGCCCAGTAGTGACAGCCGCGCCTCTCTTCGTTCTTCGCTCTTCGCTCTTCGTTCTTCTCAGTGGTGCTCTGCACTCAGCCAAAAGACAACTTTCCTGTCATGCTTCGCGTTGTTGAAGCAGCCAGCAGCGAACGTAAGCTTGCATTTATGTAAGTTCAAAGGTGTCACAACGGGACACGGTGGTCATGAGGACATGCTGTCCACTGGCTTGTCCGCATCAAATCCCTGAGGTGGTTGGAGACGGTTGGGTCGTGAGCACCACAGGGCGACGAAAGGAAGGAAGTTCTCAAAAAGGTACCTTGAGGTCGCCGCAGGCAATGAAAGGCACGATTACCCGGTTGGGACCCACCAGCTCGTTCGAGTCGGCTACACAGCAGCAAGACCAGTTTTACATTTTTTTAAAAAAAATCAGCCGCGCGTTTCACGTCGAAGCGGAGGTAAGGAAAGGAGAGCGTACCGTATTGATAGTCGAGCATGGGGTTGATGATGGTGGGCACGTAGCCCTGCGGCGGAGTGTAGTGCTGGCAGAGCACGAACGATTCTGGTGACGCCACACACGACGCACACGCATACGTTGGAGGGTGCAGAAAGGGTTTTTTTTTTAGGTGGTGTGGGGGTACCGATGGAGGAGTTGCGAGAAGACTTGGGCTTGGCGATGGTGACCGAGGGGAAGAACACCTTGAGCTGCTCGTACAGCAGCGTCACGTCCTTGCCGCGGAAAATCTTGGCGATGAACGTGCCGCCTGTCGCCCCGATCGAACGTTCACACAAGTTCAGTTCAACGTTGTGGACCATAAGAAAGAAAAAGAGTTTGTGTGTCGTGTGTGTCGTGTGTGTCGTGTGTGTCGTGTGTGTCGTGTGTGTCGTGTGTGTCGTGTGTGTCGTGTGTGTCGTGTGTGTCGTGTGTGTCGTGTGTGTCGTGTGTGTCGTGTGTGTCGTGTGTGTCGTGTGTGTCGTGTGTGTGTCTTGCAACCAACCTGGCTTGAGCACGTGTGTGGTGATGTTCAGCGCAGCGAGGATCAACTGGGCCTGCACGTACTCATCCATGTCGTGCATTCCCGTCACTGGCATGGGTGGATGGAAACCTCAGTCATTCGCATCGAGCGCCACACACACACCACACACGATCGTCTCTACAGGAGCGAGGCCTTACCATCGGGCGCGCCATCGCATACGACGAGATCGGCCAGCTTGCCCTCAAAGTGTCCGATGATTTCTTGCACCGTCGACAGCTTGGTGATGTCGCCCTGGTTTTGGTGCAGTGGAAGAAGACACCAGTTGGGTTGGGTGCGGGCGCGAGCACTCGATCGCAGCGATCGGGGGAGTACTGCGCACCTTGATTTGGATGACTCCCTCCAGCGGTGCCATCTCCTGCAGATCGACGGACACGATCTTGGGCTCCTCGCCCTCGGGCCTGACGTTGATCGAGTGGCGATGGTGAGCCACGCTTGCCGCACCGTCACAAAGTGTGTGTGTGTGTTGCGTGTGCGCGTGTTTTAATGTGTGTGCGGTGGTGCGTGTGCAACAGCGGGTGGTGGCGAACCGTGGGACGGAGGACCCGAGCAGCTTGCGAGAGAGAACCTGCGACCAGCTGCCGGGAGCGGCACACAGGTCCACCGCACGGACCACATCTGAAGGAGAGGCGACGTCAGGCAAGGACCAGGCAGGGGTCCTGATGGAGGGAGCACCTTTGAAAATATTAAAATCTTCATCGATTTGAAGCAGCTTGAAGGCCGAGCGAGCCCGCCAGCCTTCCTCCTTGGCTTTCCGGTAGTAAATATCCTTTTTAAAAAAGAGAAAAAGTAGATGAGCGGTGGTATGCCTCTCGCCTTTTGCCACCTCGAGCTAGTCCACAAAGAAGGCTTACCCTCTTATCCTTTGATGTGCGACCCATTTGCTGTTTTGTTGTGATTTACTTTTTTTAATTGTGGAAAAGATGGGGAACCGCAAAAAAAAAGAGCGGGAAAAGAGATTTCTCAGCCAGATTGAAAGATGCATGCTGGCAAGAGAAGACGAGATGAAGAGGCCCAGGTGAAGGAGCAGGCCCTTTGCCGTATCTGTGAGGCTTCCCCTTTCAAGTACAAATGCCCCACCTGCACCACTCCGTAGTACGTCCACCTCATTTCTCAATTTTTCGAAAGGAAGATGGCGATTTGACGGAAACTGTTTGATTACAGCTGCTCTGTGGTATGCTTCAAGAAGCACAAGGAGACGCCGTGCCAGGCACCACCTGTCAAGAAAGAGGAACCAAAGCGGATCGTAAAAAAGAAGAGGAAGCCGTTTGCTGACGATGAGAAGCCTGCCTTCATCGTCACCAAAGAGCAGTACGCGCGACTTGGTAAGTGCGCCCACACGCAATCGCTTCCTGCTTGCGGCAGCAACTCACAACCATCTTCGTGCCACAGCTCAGTCAGAGTACGTCCGAAAGACGCTGGATGATCAGCGAGTGCGCGATTTATGTGGCGAAATCGTGGAAGGCGGGGAGAGGAGGCTGAAGCAGGCCCTCAAGGATGAAGATTTCGCCGCGTTCATGGATGAAGTGCTCAAGGTGATCGGCGTTCGAGACGATGAGGGGCAATTCATCTTGTAAATAGCGAGAGGAGTGCGATATACGTATTTATTGACAGGGAAGGGCGGGAAGGGACAGTCGCGATCCAACTCAGAAGGAACCTCCAGTCTGCTGCAGCACTGCACCAGAAAAAGGGGTGAAGTCAGGCAAGGCGAGAAGGAAGGAAATGCGTAGCTAAAATCGTACCGGCGTCGATGATGTCGTTATCCTCCATCTCCATCTGCACCAGAGGGAAAGGTGAGATGGATTTGAGTCAATGGTGTGATTGTAAGGGTGATGTACCTCTTCTGGGGTGGAGTCAGGCATAACTCGCGCGCCATCATACAAAAATCTGATGGAATCTGAAGACTTGGCCTGACGCTGGCAGTAGGCATCCATCAGCTTGCGAAGAGGAGTAGAGCGCTTGATCTTGAAGTAGACCTCATTACCCTCCTGCAAAACAGGCACCCAGTCAACACATACGTATAACATCATCGGTGATCGATGCAGGCCCTAAGCCGAACCTGATCGACGACTTTGAGGGAGATGTGATCAGTCGACTGCGTTTGCGAGGTGTTCTGTTCCGCAGGCTTCTCGTCTCCTTCAGCGCTCATCTTGTGCTTCTCCTCCTTCTTCCAGTCGATCTGTTTTGACCGTTTGATTTATGTTCACTTTTCAATTTGTATTTTCCGACGAAATAAATCCGGGAAAACACCAAGGATACTCTGGCTCAAAAATTGTGGGATTTGCCTTTCGGCGGTACATGCCCCCAAAACCAGCGAACTATCCCAATAAGAGCGAACACCAGGAAAAGTCGCAACATCAGACAATACTGTTGATATCAACAAATTGTTGATATAGTTTTGTTGATTTTGATAGCACACCATGCGCAGCACACGCAAGAAGGTGTTTGGAAACAAGAAGAAGAAAGAACAGCTCAAGGCCAAGCGAGAGCAAAAGCGGCTGCAGAAGGAGAAGGAGGACGGCACGCAAGCAGCCCCCCATCCGCCCACGATCATTTCACCTGAAGAGTTCGAACGCGATGATGCACCGAAGCTGCGTGTGAAAAGAAAGGATCGCCAGCCCAAGGATACTGCCCCTGTCGATGATCGCAACAAGTGCGCTTCCCCCCCCCCAATCTGCCAGTGCAGTGTTCTCATTTAGCCTTCATTTTCGTGCTCTTGCAGACTGCGCACAGTGTTTGAAAAGGAGTCAAAGGAAGAGGTGGAGCTCAGGAAGAAGCGAGCACAGCTGCCGCTGGCACGATGGCAGCCGCGCATCGCCGACGACTACTTCTACAGGCAATTCATCGGTATGCCCAAGCGCCCGCCGTGGTCCTACTCGATGACCAAGCAGCAGCTGGAGGAGCGCGAAAAGAAGTACTTTGACGACTGGCTCGCCAACATCTACCACCACTACCCGCGGGAACGACTCAACTACTTCGAGCACAACCTGGAGGTGTGGCGGCAGCTCTGGCGCGTCATCGAGCGCAGCGACATCCTCGTCATCGTTGCCGACGCGCGCCATCCGCTATTTCACTTCCCTCCATCGCTCTACTCGTACGTCGCCAAGGACCACAAGAAGCCCATCATGCTCGTGCTCAACAAGATCGATCTCGTGCCCGAAGACGTGCTGCACCAGTGGGTCGAGTACTTTGAGAAGCGCTACCCGCTGCTCAAGGTGGTCACCTTCACCTCGTACCCCAACGAGGAGACCGTCACGCTGGGCAAGGACGCCGACATCGACATCGAGCGGAAGCGGAAGAAGCGCATCCGGCGCAAGTACCACGCCGTCGGCGGGAAGGAGCTGATGGAGCTCGCCGCCCGCTTTGCTCGCGAGCGCGGCCTGCAGGCCGGCGACATCATCGGCGCCTCCGAGAAGCAGCAGCAGCAGCAGCAGCAACGCCAAGCTGACGAGGCCAACGATGACAACGGCAGCGATGAGGAGGAGTCGGACAAGGACGAAGACCTGGTGTCGGGCGATATCGAAACGCTGGAGGAGGATCTCGACTACGCCGACCCCACGACCCAGCAGGAGTACGCGCGCAAGCTGGGCTTCGTCACGATCGGCATGGTGGGCCACCCCAACGCCGGCAAGTCGTCGCTGATCAACGGCCTCATGGGGAAGAAGGTGGTCAGCACGTCGTCGAGCCCGGGCCACACCAAGTACCTGCAGACCATCTTCTACAGCAAGGGCATCCGGCTCTGCGACTGCCCCGGCTTGACCTTCCCCGCCCTGGACATGCCCAAGCCACTTCAGGTACGTACTACCCCTTCAGCTTCAGCTTCATCTTCATCTTCATCTTCATCTTCAGCGGCACGTCGTAGCGCTTACACACTCACGGCGCGCGGTTGTGTTGGCTCGCGCAGGTGCTGGCGGGTCTGTATCCGATCGCGCAGGTGCGGGAGCCCTACTCGGCGGTGGGCTTCCTCGCGGAGCGGGCGCCGGTGGAAAAGGTCTACGGCCTGACGCTCGAGGATCCGTCGAAGCCCTGGAGCGCCTGGGAACTGTGCGAACGCTACGCCCAGAAGAGGGACTACACGACTCGCCATGGCGCCTGGGACACCTATCGCGCCGGCAATGAGATACTGAGGTGAAGTTGTTCGCAGCTTGGCTCTTGGGCAATGGCTAGCGTTGCTGACATCTTTTCATGTGCACGTGTGCAGAGACGCGCTGGACGGGAGAGTGCTGCTGTTCTTCTATCCGCCAGAGGAGACGCCTGATGCCGATGGCGGTCCGCACGAAGACGAAGTGACACACCACCCCGTGGAAGGCAAGGACACTAGTACGCATGATGATGACGAGAAGGCAGCCACTGATGAGGATGGCGGCGAGGAGGAAGACGTCGAGTCCTCCGTGTCAGAGTCCAGCGACGAGGAAGACGAAGACGACCTCGCGCCGCAGACGCAGAACGCCTTTGCATTGCTGGAAGAAGAATGCCCCTGAACCTTCATGCAGACCATTTGCCCTCTTTGCTTTTTCCTCAGTGTTGGCGAGAAGCGGTGACTTCGATGCACGGGCGCGGGGAGGGATGAAAGATGGACGCAAGCAAGGATGAAGGGCAAAAGGTTGTGATTGGTTTTTGTTTATATTGTCACCTCCCCACCATAAATACGCCTTCTCTTCAGAACTGGTTGGAGCACTTAGAGACGACGACCACGGCGACCTCCCTTCTTCCTCGTGCCATCAGTAGGGATGGGGGTAACGTCCTCTGCAAAACAAACAATAAATGTAAGAAAAATGTTGTGTAAAGATGGAGAAAGCAGTGAGGAAAAAGTACCAATACGGCCGATCTTGAGGCCAGCGCGGGCAAGAGCGCGGAGAGCAGACTGGGCACCGGGACCGGGGGTCTTGGTCCGGTTACCACCAGTGGCGCGGAGCTTGATGTGGATGGCAGTGATGCCAAGCTCCTTGCAACGGACAGCGACGTCCTGAGCAGCCAACATAGCAGCGTAGGGGCTCGACTCGTCACGATCAGCCTTCACCTTCATGCCGCCGGTCACGCGGGACAGAGTTTCCTTGCCCGAGAGATCGGTGATGT